GGAGAGGAGAGGGGAGGGGAGGGGAGGTGTGGAGAGGAGAGGAGAGGAGCGGAAGGGCACCTGCTAATTCACAACATTTGCTTCCAGGTGCCAGGTGGACCTGTCGGCCCTCAGTAGGGAGCAGACACACAAGTTGGAGTTGCAGCTGGAAGAGGGTGAGGGTCACCTGGTTCTGCTGGTCACCCTCACAGCTTCGGCCACAGTCAGCATCTCTGACCTCTCCGTCAGTTCCCTGGAGGACCAGAAAGAACGGGAGGAAATCTTAAGGAGATATGTACGTATGTAACCCTCCTAATTCAGGGTCATGTGTGACGAGTTGAGGTGGTAAACGATCTACCTAGAGTGACAGGAGTACATCTGAAGGGCTGTGTGACAGCTGAGTCAGCAGAGACAGAGAGCTGGGTAAATGCAGGTGCCGTTCCCCTGAGGTCTGCACACCTGCTCTTCTCTAGAGTCTCTTCCAAAGCAAGGTCTAGATTCTGAGCCTCTCCACAGTGATTTTGTCATGCAGCACAACTATCATGCAAGGCAACTTCTCATAAAGGAAAGTCAAGTATACAGAACATTACCTCAAAATTAATTCTTTGACCCTTTGTAATTGCAATTAAGAGTTCTTTGTCTTTCCAAGTTTGAAATGGAATTAATGACACCTACATTAATTAGTAGCTTGGTAACGAGAGGATGCTCACAGAAAGAATTTTTATTTCAACTGCTTAGAAAGGCCTCGCTTCATCCCTTTATCTTATTTTAATTGAATGTGAAATATAATTAAAAGGAAACCTCCTTACCTTTTGATCATTTGTGGAGTGATAGGGCGGAATAGTGAGTCACTATAGTAAGCACCCTTCTCACATTTCACCAAGCCAAAATATTCACACCCAAATCTACCTCTTTCCCAGCATCCTCATGCTGTGCATTTTCCACCATGTAGTTTTCTTGAATCAACAGAGAGGGGAGCTCTTACTCCACCATTCTCTCAATGTAGTCTCAAAAAGTGAATGCCTCGGTACCCATGAAGCTGGGAAAAAAAGCTTTTCCACTTAAAATTACAAAGCTTGTATTGTACAATGCTGCCAGGTGTTTAGAAGGCTCCTCTAGACATTCAGCCATGAAACCAAGCTCTAACAAAGAACCGCTTAATTTTTTTTTTAGATTCTAAAATATTCCTATTTGCTGACTGACATCCTTCCAATAACTGAATTTAATAAAGATGTACCTTATCAGGCTGTGCAGATAACATGAAGTGCTGGTACTAATGCTCTACAATATTCTTCAAACAGATTAGCAGGATGTGCGCTTCAGCAAATTTATTCTGGCTATCTCCACCGAATCAGCTGTCTGCTAATGCTTGCACAACTCATCTACCAATGGTGTTACCATAAACAGTTTAATAGAGGTGACTTAGCAAGGCTAAATAGTATATATTTTTAAACCACCTAAGAGCCCAACCTATTGTTGGGCATCTTCTAATATGTAATTGCAATTATGAGAATTATTTCACATTTTGGTACCCATGAAAAAATGTTCTCCTGTTACCAGGAGTGAACCTTGTGAGTTGAAACAATTTTAAAGGAATTAATTGGTATATTAATATAAAAATTCTAGGTATTACGATACTGTATTTTATGGATTAATATTTGGTACTATCCCATGTATTAGAATGTTAGTGGAGCCTAGGTAATTAGGAATAATCCAACTATTATTGATTCTTTTTTTTTTTCTTTTTTGCCGGTTGGGCTTCCTTAAATCGGCCATTTCCATTCAGAATTTGAATATTTGTTTCCGCACCTTCTTTCAAATGTTAGTTGTTATCTGAATAAAATATAAACTATGATGTGGATGCCCTGGCTGATTCCCTGATTACATGCTGCTCTACGACATATTAAAAAGTGAACCGTATTTAAATGTTTTGTTTTGTTTTTGTAGCCCTGCTTTTCAAGCATAGGCCTGTGTCTCCCTCTAGAGACGTCGTTGCTACGGAGCTCCTGTATGCAGTATAGCACATGTGTTATAATTGCTCATAGTAAGACAAGGACAGAGACCTAACTTTATGGTTTCAGTGTGTTTTCTTTTTATTACACAGATTATGAGACAAATGAATGCTGTATCGTGTCTGGGACATCATATGTCATCATATGTTTCAGAGAAACATATAGAGGAGGTTATTTGGGGAATTATTTATATGTTTTCCTGGGAGAACATGTGTATTTTTTAAATTTTAGGGGACACTTCAGAATGTGATTTGGCACTGGCCATAGTGAGGAAAGTGAGTTGCCCCTGAAAAGGCTCTCCATTTCTGTCATTCGGTTGTTCATTGTGAAGCATCGAAGCCCCGCAAATTAAACAGACATTACCGTGTGGGCCATTATGTGATCACCTCATTCTGAAAAGATGGCTAATTCCATTTTTCTTTTTTTTTTCTTTTTTTTTTTTTTCCTTTTGGAGGGAGGAAGGCAGGCAAGGTCACAAGGGGGCGGGTAGTAATGGGTAGTAGACCAAGAGCGATTGTATGACCTTTTCAGAATGGGTATGCTGAACCCTTGCTCCCCCTTGTCACAGTTTAAAAACCAGAGGAGCTAGTTTAGAGAAGAAGTTGTTAGCATTCCATTTTTATTATGACATTTCACAGTCATCTGATTTAATGTCCCTTGACCGGATTGTCCAGCATGAGACGATGGGCTTGAAATGTTATTTAGAGCATTGATAAAAGGTGAGCGGTTCTAGGATGACAGCGAGTCATAAGGCTGGTGGTGTGACATTAATTTTCTCCATAACAGAGATGGAATAAGACGTCACGGTGACAAGCTGTCAATCAGCTCTGGCCCCTCAGAGCATCTCGATGCCATAGGATGGGGTATTGCCTCTCCTGTAATAGAGCTGAACTGAGATGCTCTCCCTGACAGCTGCTGCAGCCATAGAGAAAATATATTATACAGCCTTTCATTAAAAAAATAAAGAGGACTCCTCTCCAGAGCATTTCAATCTTTTCCCATCTATTGAGGGCTGAAAGGATTCACAGCAAATCATAGATTCCTCTGCTATGGAAATTTCTGGCTTCAGAAGCCATTCAGGTTTTGAGGCCTTCGAAAATAACCATAAATAACAAGGCAGGAATACCTCTTGATGAAGCATCCCCGAAAGGTCTATTTTTAAACTGATATAGTTAATATTTTGTTTTTTTTTTTTTTTGCAATTCTTATTATAAGCGCTGTGTCACTGCCCTAAACAGTTGAAGTTGGCAATAAATTCCTGAGTGTCAGCTGACTGGAGGAAAGAAACCCTTCGAACAGTAATTACCCCTCCAAATGAGAAGCAGAACATCGGAGCTGAAGCGTCAGAAGCTATATGTGTGTGCAGGGAGGTTACTCGTATGAAACAATTCTCAGCCCGAGGACTGATGAGATTTGTTTTAGACACGGTGAAACTTGGATTGAATTGCTCCCAAAAATTAAAGGACAGAAACCTTGTGATAAAACTCTTCTCTATCATCAGGATAGGAGACTTACCTGGTTTATAACACTCAGGAAGCTATGAGATGTTACTACATCAGGAAGGCAACATGCCTACACACCTCTGAATTATAACACTGCTGTCTAACGTTCCCATTGTTAAACCCTTAGCAGGAATTTAAGTGGAGAGAGAGGTTCGTTTTTCCTGAGCCCTATCATCTGGGTAGTTTCAATAGATTTTGGGTGATAAACAGCTGTTTTAAAACAATACAAGAATAGGAGCTAATCCTGTGCTCAACACTCTTAAAAGTTAGGCTCTGAGATTACCCATATATCTGCATTTCCTCCTCCCAATATACCAAGGTCATAGCTTCAGTATACACAATGGCTAGTCATACAGGACTCATAAAGTCAATATCTCAGTAAGCTCCTGCTTGTCAGTATTCTCACATCCTTAATACAAGGATGGGAATGTTCTTTAGTAACAGTTTGATAACTTTGTTATATTATGCTCCTTGGTCTTAAAGCATTTTAGGGATTATAATGCAGAAGTACCTTTGATTTGCTGAGTAGAAATGCTGGTTTTGTCATAAGAAAAATGCTAGGAAGTGTAAATAAGCAAATGCATATCAGTGTTCTCTATCAATACTTACTCTTTAAGTATTTGTGCCCATTAATTCGAGTTCTGAATTATTACATTGGTATGTCTCTTTTAATGCCTTCAGGTACTATACTTCCCAAAACACTACCATTATTAATTTATGAAATTAAATAGGTTTTATCCTTTGGATCTGATTCTTCTATTGGAATTTCCCTACTTCTGTACACACTACAATGGCAAATAAAATTGCAAACTTAAGAAAAATTATTCATCACTTTGAATTTATTTTTAGTGATCAATTTGACCTATTTTAGAAATTACATATGATTTTTTTCCTAAAAGGTTCATAGAACTATGCAAATCTTTTGAACCAAACATTAGAAAGCAGCATTTCAGTAATTCAGCCCTCATCTAGCACATGCAATTTCCAAAACTCACCAAGAAGAAAAGAGTAAAAAAAAAAATAATATTGACTTTCTTAATCCTAAAGGCTGAAGTGTGTTACATTACCAACAACCTAAGACTCAGTATTAATGATCATTAGTCTCCAAATCATGGTTCCCATAGATGACAGATTCTTTGGAGTTCTTCAGTAAAGGAGATTGAAGGAAGAAAGTAGGTATATCCTATTCTGTAATTTACTGTTCACCATTGTTCACTGATAATTTTTTATGGGGAAGAAATGTGGTATTTTTTATTCTTTCAAAATTCTCATATAGCAACAATTATCTATGTCAATACATATGTGTGTGCCTATGTGTAGGTGCACGTTAATGATAGTGGAAGGGTAATCTGTATTGAAAAAACACAAATATCCCTTTGAACCACTTAAGCAGCATCCTGAGATCAACGATAAAACTTAGTGTTTCCTCACACACCCTCTGATACCCTCTAGAACCTTTCTTTTCTAACACCGATGTTGGGGTCTTTCAGAGTCCATTGCGGATATTTCACAACCTGAAAGATGTGGGATTTCTCCAGGTGAAAGTAATCAGAGCAGAAGGGTTGATGGTCGCTGATGTCACAGGTAAGAAATGAGGGAATTCTATTGACTATATTTATATATATTATTTTGACTATGTATTATAACATATATATTTATAATATTTATTATATGTGATATATACATATCGAGCTGCATGCTGGGTCCACACCATTTAATGACTAAACTCTTCATTTCTCCTGACTGGATCATCAAAGTAAATAATATAAAGTTTTAGGTTTGATATTACAAGAAATGCCAACCACCCAACTTTTTACTGTTTCTGCTTTTTGAAAGAAGGGTGATGTATTAAAAACAAACAATAAAGGGTAAAATAACTTTTGAATTGTTGCCTTTTCCAAAGTTTCGCCAACGCAGTGGGACTTCCAGGTTTCATCATTTTGGCATCTTGTAGTAATGTTATATCTTCTCTCAGGCAGGATCACCTTCCCTCAGACAGTATCATAACATCAACACAAGTCCAACACACGTGAAATCTGTTGCATAGTCTACTGAAAATTGTAGATGCAAATTACTCAATTACTTGGTATGAACTCCTGGCATCCGGGTTGCTGATTCAAGTTTTTGCTGTTTTTTTTTTTAGAGATTTTTTTTTTTTTTTAATTTATATGACAGAGAGAGACAAAGCGAGAGAGGGAACCCAAGCAGGGGCAGAGAGAGAGGGAGAAGCAGGCTTCCAGCTGAGCAGGGAGCCCGATGCGGGACTCGATCCCAGGACTCTGGGATCATGACCTGAGCCGAAGGCAGACGCTTGCTTAATAACTGAGCCACCCAGGCGTCCTTTTTTTTTTTTTTAATTTTCAAGTTTTTTTGTTGTTGTTAAAATTCCTTAGCACATCCCAGAGATAATTCTGGATCTAAACTAAGCATCGTACTGAATGGAGCACTGGGTGTTATATGCAAACAATGAATCATGGAACACTATATCAAAAACTAATGACGTAATGTATGGTGATATAACATAATAAAATAAATAAATAAATAAGTAAATGAAAATAAACTAAGCATCTACATTGTTCTAAATTTTTTAACCAAGAAATGGGCCTGTAAAAAACACTGAAATCAGTCTTATCTCTTAAAGCTTCCTGATTTGGATATCACTGTTTCTGTGATGTATTAATTAACTAATGATAATTATTTCATCAATTTCCAGAATGAAATTATTGTTTTGAATTTGCAATTATGTGACCATTCATTTACTCTTTAATTTCATAGGTTTTGGGGCATACTTATACCATTCCTTAAATTGTCTATCTCAAGATAGATAACAAATAGGACTGACTTGGCCAATTTTTGTGTAAATTTTGCTCTTCCTGAAAGAAAGCATCCACTTATTATTTGTAGAAATATGCTCACCATTGTGAATGTTCGGCAAGTTGATCCTAATAAGGTAGTAGACTTATCTGAAGGGGAGAAATGCACTTTTCCTACCATCTAAGAGCTTGCAAATCCATTACCTGATGGTTGATATCCTTTTTTTAATTCATCAAATCTAAACAAAACAGAATCAAAACCAAATTAAAAGATGACATGCATTAAAACTAAAATAGCAGATGTCTGCTCCAGAATGGTAATATTTTTAAATTTTTAATATTTGCATAGTATCAAGTGACTGTTTATTGTGTGATAAAAATGTTGAGAGTTTACAGCTTCTTTAAACAGGTGATTATCAACTCATTTGTAACCATGAAGATAGTAACAACTGTCAAATATTCTTTCAAAATAGGTGTACTTGAAAGTACTGGGAGAGAGGGTAGTTTGTAATCTTTTTGCATGTATGCTGACTTGGGTCCTTGTACTAAACAATTAGTGAATGTTAACTTTACTCATCTTTTTTACTTCTGATGTGGTTATACTCAAATTAATCTGGACATAATGATTTTTTTTCTTTTATTATGTTGCATTTAGTATTAGAACCAACAGTCAACAATGAATGAATGATTAACTCCTCTTTTTTTAAAGATTTATTTATTTATTTATTTGAGAGAGAGAGAATGCGGGGGAGGGGTAGAGGGAGAGGGAAACTTAAGCAGAGTCCACGCTAGGCACAGAGCCCAGCTCGGGGCTTGATTGTGTGATTCTGAGGCCACAACCTGAGCTAAAACCAAGAGTCTGATGCTTAACCAACTGCGCCACCCAGGCGCCCCAGTAATTGCTTTTCTTTGGTTCACTGTGGACATTAACTTAAAGACCAGAATAGGAACTCAGTATTGCTTTCGCATACACAGGTTACACCTAGCCTCTGATACCCCGCAGCAGGTAAATTCAGAATGTGACATTCACGATAGTGACGTTCACCATCATGGGAGGCACCTTCAGTTTTCTACAGGATTTTCTGTAGGGGAGCCCCCAGTGTTAGGCTGAAAACCTCTGAAGATGGGGAGAAAGGCCTAAAATAATATCTCAGGGGGCACCTAAGTGTGAAGAATTATTACTGAACATTTATAGGGGTACAATAATTTCTTATACAAATATTCAAGTTCCATTTACTTCAAAAGCTTAGATACCTGCCCATTACACAAGTTGAATGCAATTATATAAGTTTGTTTCTCGTAGAGAGAAGCTGTCATTGCTTTTAAAACTTCATGAATATATAAACTATGTTAACCTACTTGGCCTATATGCCACTGTGGAAGTTAAAGTACATGGTCTTTCAAAGCTGTAAAAAATAGATATATTTCTTTCCTAATGGTTCTATGTAAATTAATGTGAATAACAATAGTCTTTTCCCTAGGGATTTAATGAGACCTAATTTTGATCTGATAAAATGAACTTTAATTTGGGGAATACTAAATAACAGATTGTCCATTTTTTTCCCCTCCAGTTTTAGGGACATAAATCTCATGATTCCTCATTCCACACTGACCTTATAATCTAATGTGCTCTGAATTGAACAAGAGAGATGTTGAACTATTCAGGGGCAAGAGGATAATTCAGTCTTTGACCTTGCTCACTCTTGGACCTTTTGTGGTCTTTATGACATTTGTGATGGTGGCAGAAACTGAGGACCATATATTTAAGTGAGAAATGTCTGAATATACTACTGAATTTTTTTAATAATCTTTACTTCTGGAAAGGATAAATATTTATGTGTAAACTGATCCTTCCTGGTCTTTACCATTAAATTTCAAGCACAAATAAGCTCTTTGTATACTTTCTTTTTTACTTGTTCAAAGAAGAACTTTAAAGATATGTTGTACATCTCAGTGGATAATCATAGGCTCTACAAGATTTTCAGCAACAGTTTGAAAAACAGAAATTGAGTCAATGGTGCGGTCTTCAAATCCTCAAATTAGCATCCGTTTAGGAGTGTTGTGGATGGAGAGGGGAGATTTTAAATCACTGATAGCTCTCTGAGCTAAGCAGAGTATCTTCTGACCTGCTATAAATGAGGCTATTACTATAAGATACTTAGTTGGGTTCAGAACACTTTTTTCTAGACAAGCCTAACAAGACAAACTTATATTTGACCAACTTTGCTCTATTTTTAAACTATTTTAAGGATCAGAACATAAAGTCAAACTTCCATAGTTTAAGCAAAAAATTTTAAATTATAATATTCCATCATTTAACATGAGCACAGGAACAAGATTCTATAATCTTTTAAGTAGCCATCAATCTTACTGCAGTTACAAAGAATTTTTTTCCTTTCAAAATGTAAAATTTTTCTTTTGTTACAACACATTCATTGAGAAACATTGTGATACTGTATTAACTCTGTGTGAATAAAGAGCAATTGAGACTCTCTTTGAATGAGTGAGTACAAAGCACAAATTACTTTTTAATGAAACCCTCAATTCTTTCCCTTTCCACAAAAAGCCTATAGCCTTGTTCAGCTGAACACTACTACAGTAGGTCACTTCAGTTAAGCCCCTAATAAACTGTTGATAGTCGAGGGTAGTTTTTTCTTCGGTCTCAATAGGCCAGTGTTGGACAGTGCACTTCAAATCATTAAGGTTAATACAGATTTAAAAAAAGAGATTAACTCTGGTGGTTAAGGCCTCAATTTACAACTCCCACACATACACATGCATTGAGCGCGGCACAAGAGTGGATTGAAATTTCAGTCAAATTGTGGGCAGCCTTTCACAGCCTGAGAAAGTGGCTCTCTGGTTTTCAAAGATGATCAGCTAAATTCTTCGTGAGGAAAAAAAAGTTTGATTAAGTGAAAAATACTTTGCAGTACAACTTACTTACCTTTCAACTAAGCAGTGAAAAGGTGGTTGTCTCTCTGTACCATCAAAGCAAAACCCAGAGACCGTTTGGCCCTGCGTTCAGTGGGGAAAATTCTCTCTACCGCTAAATCAAGTATTCCTTAAAACTGGACAGTTTGTGAGTAGAGAAAGACCACTGGGGGGGAAATATATATATATTTTTAAAGGTGGTGGGAAACAGTTCATGTCGGAATTTGTCTTTTCTAAGCTTCTAATTATCCCCTTCCTTGGATGGGGCCTAATTTCTGCTTTCAGCAGAACATTTAATGTCTTCTATATCGAGTGAGGCTTTCTTCTCTGAGTATTTAGACCTGGCCAATTTGGTTCTTTCAAGTTCTAAGAGAAAAAAGAGAAAAGGGTTCTTCTCTTCAGCCCCTCCCCTGCATTTTCCCCTGGGTTGTTTTTTTGAGCTCCCGAGGAAGAGGTCACAGCCTCCCCAGGGATACCAGCCACTCGGGTTCAGAAACGGTGATATGGGAGAACTGTGAAAGCCTTTCAAAAGATGCCCTACCTTTTCACTGTATTAAAAGGCACACTAATATAAAACTTCTCCACCCCAGGTGAATTGATCTCTCAAATTAATGCACCATCTCTTTCAGGAAACAATAGAGGGAGAGGGAGAGAAAAAAGGAAGAGGGAGAGAATTTTACAATTAACATAATCTGTCACTGAAACAGTCCCATTAAATGAGCATATCTTTTTCTAAAACAAGGCTATGCATAAATACCCATGACTCACCAGCCCCATAGTCTGGAAACCTACTAGTTATTAAGGGAGATGTTTACTACCCCTTTATTTGCATAGACTTTT